CCTCCCTCTCTCACTCTTTCCTTCTCTCTCTCCCTCCCTCCCTCTCTGTCCCTCTCTCTTTCTCCCCTTTCTCTTTCCCTCTCTCTCTCTCTCTCTCTCACACACACACACAGACACACACACACACTTAAACACACCTGTTTTACTTTCCTTTTGAGGAAGGACTGGTGAGACCACGCTTGGAATAGGGTGTCCAGTTCTGGCCACCACGATACAGGAGATTCTGGAAAGAGAGCAGAGAAGAGCCACAGAGATGATCAGGGGGCTGGAGGATAAAACCTGTGAAGTTTGCAGGAATTGGGCAGGTCTAGTTTAATGGAAAGAAGGACTAGGGGAGACACGATAGCAGTCTTCCAATATTTGAGGGGCTGCCCCAAAGAAGAGGGGGCTCAACTTATTTTCCAAAGCGTCTTCAGAAGGCAGGATAGGAAGAATCAGATGGAAACTAACCAAGGAGAGAAGCAACCTAGAACCAAGGAGGAATTTCCTGACAGTGAGAACAATTAATCAGTGGAACAACTTGCCACCAGAGGTTGTGGATGCTCCAACACTGGAAGTTTTTAAGAAGAGATTGGACAGCCGTTTGTCCAGAAAAGTATAGGGGCTCCTGCTTGAGCAGCGGGTTGGACTAGAAGACCTCCAAAGCCCCTTCCAACCCTGTTACTCTATGTTCTGAGGAGTGGGTCTATTATTTCCTCTCTACCAACCCCACCTACTCAGTTCCCTCAACCAGGAGCACAATGATACAACGGCACAAAAGGTGGCCGTTTGTGGCCCCTGCGCCAGACCTCGGAGAGGTTGATAGGATGCGTGACATGAACTCTTGCACACGCGTGATCCTTCCGACGCCGTCCTGTTTTTTTTTTTACAGACACAGCTGCCCCGGTGGGAGATTCCAGTTTTCTCTTCTTGTTAAAAACTGACAAATTGCTTTTTCCAGAAGTCAGCAAAGCTGCTTATTTGGGCCGTTAAAAGATCGGAGTGTGATCTTGGAACTTGACAAGCTTACAAAAAAGAAACAGAAAAAAATTGGCTCGGGAGCTGTTGTGGGATTGCTTTATAGTGCCAGTGAGATAATCTGCGGGAAGAGAAGGAAGGGAGTGGAGAAGAAAAGGGGAGAAGAAGAAGGAGGAAGAGGAGAAGGAGGAGGAAGAAGAGGGGGAGGAGGAGGAAGAGAAAGAAGCAGAAGGAGGAGGAGGAGGAAGAAGAAAACGACAGGGTCTTATTTTGGGGGAAAGGCAGTGTTAGTTTTCACTTGTCCTGGGAACGACCAGATAATGGATCTTAGGGGAAATCAAGTTTATGTCTTTTGCAGCCATGCAGGGACTCAAGGCTAGTTCCCTGCTTGGCCCCTCCTTCCAGCCTTGAGCGGCAATTTCCCAACTTAAATAAAGTTCATTCTGGCCACATTTAACGTTTCCCATCGCTGCCACCTCTTAATTCCTCTTTGCTGGGATTCATGCGCGCTCGGTTATCTCTAGGCTGGGCCAGGCTACGCCACGACAACTCAGGCCCAAACTGTGAGGTCTGAAAAAAGATGCCTTTGGTAAGTTTTTGCCGCTCCCGAGTGCTGTGATGCTGTGTTTGTTCCCGGCTCCCTTCGCTCCTCCGCTTTTTCTCCTCTCCTGCCGAGGTTTTAACTCTAACAAAACCTCTGTCTCTTGTGAAGGCAGCATCAACATCCATCCTCTGCAACGGAGTACCTTCTCTGCTGTCACCAATTTCCCTGGAATTTTAAGAAAAAGAAGAAAATAACAGCCTCTGGCTATTCTTTCAAATTAATACCCACTGATGACCAATTATTTTGCCCGCCTGTGCACAGGGAGGTGTAACTAAAATCTGGTTTGTTGTACCCAAGGCTCTCCCCTTAAAACCCCTTTCAACCCCTCCTTGTTCTGAACCCCCCACCCTTAGAAGTCCCCAATATTCCTCGGGAAATTTCATCCCCCGTGCGAGAAAATAAAATTAAAATTGGGGAAAAAAGTTTTAATGAGCTGCGGACCCATCCGTGGCAAACTCTGTTCTAATCCCCCATAGAGATCTGTTTTGCCCAAAAAGCGAATCGTACCTGTCAGGATGGAACACGTGTACACCCCAAAAAAGTGTCAGCCTTCTATTTGCAAATTATAACGATTGTTTCTTTTCATCTCGGATTCCATTTTTAGAGAGGAAAGGCGGGGAGAGAAAGAGAGCTGGCTGCTTCTTATCTATTAAAAACATATGCATATGGGAGAGTTTGTCATTCATTTTGAGCTCCTGCAATTTTGATTTTAAAATACTGTTAATAGTTCATTATGGGTTTTATTTTTAAAAAAAGAAAAACAATTTATTTGGCAGCGAAAGGGAGCTCATTAAAAAAAGAGAAAGAGAGAGAAAGCAGAGAGTCGGTTTCCAGAAAGCTCCGCTTTTAACTTCTCTGCTGCTATAACCAGGGGGAAGAGGATTTTAAGTTCCTCAGCTAAAGACTTCCTGCCTCTTGAAAATTATTTAGCAGAGTTTATTAAAAATACAAAAGGAGGGAGGGAGGGAGGGAGGGTGCCTGGCGAAAGGGAGCAGTTTTGAAAGCATGCATAAATACATTTTAGAGGGTCTAATGAGGACGGGATTCTGTGGACATTTTCATCTCTTCCGAGCATCTTCCGAACAAGATGGATGGATGGATGGATGGGAGGATGATAGATAGATAGATAGATAGATAGATAGATAGATAGATAGATGATAGATAGATAGATAGATAGATAGATAGATAGATAGATAGATAGATAGGAAGGATAGGAAGGATGAATGATGACAGATATAAGATAAGGGAGGGAGGGAAGGAGAGAGAAAGAGAGATGGATAGATACAGGCAGGCAGGTAGATGATAAATTGGATGGATGGATGGATGGATGGATGGATGGAGAGAAGAAGGAAAAAGTTTGCTTTATGTTATATTTTTGAAGGGTCAAGGGTGAAAAGATTAGATGATTGATAGATAGATAGATAGATAGATAGATAGATAGATAGATAGATAGATAGATAGACAGACAGACAGACAGAAAGACAGATTGAATAGAGTAGATAGGTGACAGAGTAGATGGATGGATGGATGGATGGATGGATAGATAGATAGATAGATAGATAGATAGACAGATAGATTGAATAGAGTAGATAAGTGATACAGTAGATGGATGGATAGATAGATAGATAGATAGATAGATAGATAGATAGATAGATAGAT